AAAAGGGCAATTGTTCTCTGGTGGACGTAGGATTATTTTGATCCGAACCGCGTTAAATCTTGTGTTCTTTCTTTTACGTTTCCGCTAACACTTTATGATCTCTGAAATATTTCCTAAAATTTAACTTTTAATTATCTCTTTATTCTATTACCATCATTCGCTCTTTTTATGTAAAAATACTTTTAAATTTATATTATTTGTAAATAGCTTTAAGAACATCTCAGACGTTTTAACAAAAAAAAGTGCTTATTAGCAGCTTTTTTACTTGGAACAATAGGGAGGTTTTCCTTGTTGGAGATGATCTGAGGATGAGCGGGAAAACTAACTAAGATAGCTCTTTAATGCACTCATATGCAGATAAAACTTTTAACCATCTCATGCAGCCATGTGGCAGAAAAAGAGTTGTTGCACCCTAGTCGCTTTGCTATGAGCGATATTAATTAGATATGCATAGAACAGTTAAAAGTTATTGTTAAGCTGGTCCCTTTTGGTAGAGAAGAAGATATAGAGTTTTTGGAAATTTGAATTTAATGTTTGTCCCAAACGGAAGTAGAGGAGGACCTACATGGAGACATATACAAATCATAACTAATATCTAAGTTGCTCAGACGTAGGTGCGGATATCTGATACGAGGACGGATCTGAGAGTCGGATTTGGCAAAATCTAAATTTTAAGATTCGGGGGTGCAGATCCAGGTATGGATACGGATGCTAGGATTCGGCTAGGAAAATTCAAAATTATAAAAAGTAGAGCTATAAAGATATTCTAAATTTTGAGAGAGCTTTTGTGACAAACTTACATGTATATTGTAGAATTCAATCTTTCATTCTCCATGTCTTAAATTGCAAAACTTAACATTATATTGTAGAAAAACTTATTATGTATATTGAAGGTATGCCATTTCCCATGTCCTAAATCTGTATTATCTATTATTTCGAGAAATCAAAATCTCAATTATTCCTCCAAATTTGTCCATGGACTCCGGTCAAAGTATTCAAGTTGGTTGACCCAAACGTATTGACTTGTCGAGACGGGTTCGACATAAAAAATGAAGAGTCCGCTCAACTTAGGCTAATATATCCTCCTTATGGCAGAACCTCTCTTTTGGTCTTCAAGATGGTATCTTGAAAGACAGGTCTATGATACTGCAGAGGTATTGCGCATTAGAAGGACCATTTACTCAAGTAAAAGCAGATACCCTTGTCCTTGTAAATGAATGTAGACCATGATTACCAAAGATGATGGACTTTTGTGGCTTCATTTTTGTGTAGTCCTTGTTTATCTATTAGTTTTCAGCTCTTATCTTTGGCGCAGAGTAGACAGTTTGGTACTGCGCAAGGCTCATAAACTTGAGGCCATGAATTCAAATCCTCTGCAACATCTTATTTTTCTAATTAGCCCATGATTTTTATAGTACACGCTAAGACAGAGACTGAAGTATCTCAAAAGGATACAAAGTATAGAGACAGAGACTGAAGTATCTCGAACGGAATACAAATTTTAGAGTTTAGCTTCTCCAAGTATGAAGACCCATCCTTCCAGATTGGAAGACAGCTAAATGAATAAACCAGATAACAAGCTGTTACCGCCTAGTTCAGTTGCAAGTCTACATCTACTAGTCCTGCATCCCCAGGCCTTATCATGGATCTCACTCAGGGCATGACATTCTGTCCTCTTACCTTTTGACACTGAGAATGTAAGCAGGACTATCACCTCAAACCGGTACAACAAATACATCTCCCTAAAGGTAAACAAGTTAAAGCATAATTATGACTGCAGCTGATATATATTTTCCTTCGTATTAAAAAAGCATCCATCTTTAACTTAAGGATGTTGAAAAGAAGTAAATTAGCAGATTCAGATATCTTATGATACGTTATTGAAATATGTCACCTTTGAGTAATTTACAGAAATTCCAGAAATAAGTTGGAAAGACCATTGTTTCTGTGTTTCTTAATTTATATGATTTTAGTTCATACATAGCAAAAAGAATTTCCACATAAATTGGGACATGGAAGGCAACACTAAGCCAACATAAAAAGTTCGTCAATTTTGCAGCCTGACCTATCAATATTGGATGAGATTTCGAAATGACTTCCAATATTTGCTTGCTGATGCATCTCATGATTGAGCTGCAAGCTTTCAGCTCGTAAATGTAGACTGGCTTGCACATCTCTTGATCTGGCATCAACTGCTTCATCATGTTTTCCATCAATGTACTGTTTAAAGGATGGATATTCAGCCATACCCTGAGAGAAAGAAAATGAGACAACTCTTTTCTCTTCTCTTTTTTTGATAAGGTAAGGAAAATGAGACAACTCTTTTCTCTTCTCTTTTTTTGATAAGGTAAGGAAAATGAGACAACTCTTTTCTCTTCTCTTTTTTTGATAAGGTAAGGAAAATGAGACAACTCTTTTATCAAGAGGATAGAACAAAATGATTGCTTATTGTTGGAATAAGAAGTTAATCCGAGCATCTAAAAACTAAACTGATAGTCAACAATACCATAGAACCACTTGGAAGTTGATTGTTTATAGAACTAGAATGAGGTGATTCCGTATCAAAAGATCCACCTCTAGCATGATGTGTCACCATGGAATTTAATTGTGCAATTTTTGCCTGTTAAAAAACAGTTGACTCCTTGTCACTGTACTTGAAATTAGAATTTACAACATGGAAGCTTTTGAACTTCTTAGCAGAAAGGCAAACTCAATAACCAAAGCCTCTCAGGAAGTACTACAGCAGTATGGAATCCTGCCCAGGACTTAACCAAATTAAGCTCTCCCCCTCCCCCCCCC